CACTTAATAAAGAAAATATTTTTGAATGTGTATAATATATAATCTTTTACTATTGAGTATTTCAACAATTACAGATGAATAGAAGAACACTTCGAAGGATAGAAAAATTTCCATTTTAATTTTTCTTTGGTAACGCACATTGCATGAAATGTCTAGGTTCTCCTAATTAATTATACAAGTGGGAAGCCCCACAAACACAAGAACCCTCTAAGTTATTGCAAATTGCTGTACTGAAAAAGAATATGTAATTAAGTTTACTGTCACATGCCAAATCTGGGAAGGCTTGCTTCGTATTTATCATGATTGCCAATTAGATATTTTTTTTACTAATTTTTTAACCATAATTTTGATTAGTCATTTAATTGGGCGTTCACCGATTCTTTGGATGTATGTTTGCGTGGTTATTAGCTCACATCCTAAATCTTTACAAAAATGTGTATCATAATCTAAATTAATTAACCTAATTAATAGACACATAATCGATCTTAAGATTTGATATTCGTTTAATTTAGAATTTGATAAATTCTTATTGCGATTATTTTTGTAATTTTTCTTATTTTTATTATAAAAAAGTTGTTAAATTTATTTGAAATATATAGGAGCTTAAATTTATGTGAATCTCTTGTTTATATTAGAATAAATATCTTTATTAAAAGAATAATTTTCTAGCTTTAAAATAAACAAAAAAAAATTTACTCCATTGATGATTGAACCTATTAAGTAGGTGCCATCTTGACTGACTAGCATTATTCTTCAAATCTAATTTTTCTGCTGACATTAATGACAAAAACCACTTTAAATGGCACATTTGTTCTATTGTACCATATATTAATATTTATCTCTGGCAGTGGGTTTCTGATTCTCATCCCGTGACGTGATACATTGTTGAGAATAAAATCAATCTGTTTATCATATACATATTCCATTAGGAGATTTGGAAAACCTAAATAGACTAATGAGGGAAAAACCATAAATATTCTATCTAGGCTAAACATGACAAGAGAAATATTACCAATATTTTCTTATGAATATATTTTCTCTCACAGGTTGGATTTGATTATTAATTACAAAAAACTTGTGGGTTTTATATTTTATTTAATAATTTTATAATTTTATAATTTTCAATAAGTTTTAACTAATGATAAAATATGTTTAAATTACTGCGTTAGAATTTAGAAATTCTATTACAACACTATTATTTTTTTATTATATAAATTACATGTATCTCTCGAATCAATTACTGATTATTTTCTTGATAAGCTAATGTTTTACCAACTAGTTAATCAGACATAAGCTCCTCCTCGTTGGATTCCACCTTTTGCTCCACAGTTTAGGCAATCTTATAGAGTCAAATAAGGTCACTATGGATGGAAAGCTCTCCATGTGAAAATTGTAACGACCCGGCAGGTCCTACACATACCACTGTACACCGGAAATACCAGGCAGAAAGAACAAGTATATAAATATAGGATCTAGAATATAAATATATACAAAGTCCCAATCCAACTAGAGTTAGAGTGTGCCAAAAACAAGCAAACCAAAACAAAATACAACATTAACCGCTACACCAAGTAGCTGAAACAACATAACAGTAACTAAGGGCATCTCTGCCTGCCCGCTGCAGACTCATCACAAGCCACACACCTATCCCTGCTCTGCTCCCGCACATAGTACGATCACAACAGTCCAACCACATGGAAACAACAAAGGGTAAGCTAGTATAAAAAGATCAACGTCTAGCAAGATTTAAAAAAAAAACAGAAACAACTTCAACTATCAACACAACATCAATCTGCATCTCATCGGTTATACAACAAATCAGCCATTAGCAAAAATAATGCATCGTCACGCATATCACCTCGGAGATCTCCTACAACAACTCAGCCTTTATGGCCTACAATAACTCAGCCTTTATGGCCTACAACAACTCAGCCCTTATGGCCTACAACAACTCAACCCTTATGGCCTACAACAACTCAGCCCTTATGGCTTACAGCAACTCATATCAACATTCAACACAACACAACTTTTACAACTCAACATATCAACTTGTAACACAACACAACTATACAACTCAACATCAATCAACCAACATCATCTACTAGTCATCACATTATATTCATCCATTTCGACTCAACTCAGCATAAAACAACATTAACCAACATATAGAAAAATCTCATCTCCGCGCCCGGCGCACTCGTGGTTGCGCCCAGCGCAGTGCAACCAGAGAGCACCAGGGGGCTGGCGCGCCCAGCGCAAGCATGCCCGCGCCCGGTGGGACTCAACCAGAGAGCCCAAGGCTCTCTCGCGCCTGGCGCAATACCAATTGCGCCCAGCGCAGGCCAGGCAGAGACTTCAAGGAGTCTCACGCGCCTGGCGTACCTAACCTAGCGCCCAGCGCGGGGAAGGCAGAGACCTCCCCTTGGCCTCGCGCCCAGCGCAATTCAAATTGCGCCCAGCGCCCACAAGGTAGAGACTCCCAAGGAGTCTCACGCCCAGCGCGACAATGGTCGAGCTCAGCGCAGAACCAAAAACCCCAAAACATGTTTCAACTGGTATCGCGTCCAGCGCGGTCCAAGTCACGCCCAGCGCGGGCCAGCCAGAGACCCACATTCTCAAGCGCGCCCAGCGCATTCATCATTGCGCCCGGTGAGCTTGGCTAAATGGGGTCTCCTGGTGGCCACGCGCTCGGCGCGAAGAACTGCGCTCAGCGCGAGGCTCAGCAGCAACACTATTTTTGAAAAACTTAACCAAATCCTGCAAAAATCCACCATGTTAACACATGCAAACCATTCAAGATGCCACATTTCCAACCAACAGCTCAAAAACACCAACCTTTTCACATGCAACCATAAAACAATCAAAAGACCCAAAATTTGTCAAACCCACAAAAACCCCAAAACTTCCAATTTCAGCGATTTCAACAAAAATCCTCAAACATCAACCAACAAATGAGTTCTGAACTCAATCACAGCCAAACCCAGCGAAAATAACCAGCTTCCCTTACCTCGGGTGAAGATTCCGAGCTCCGGAAAGAAGACAAGCTCAAAGGAGAAGAAGAAAACGGATGGAGAGAAAGAAAGGCGGGGAAGGAGGGAACTTCAGCTAGCTTCCGACTCCAAGATCAGCACCTACACCCAAGAATCCCGAAGGAAAATCGAGACCAAGGTAGCAAGGGTGGAAAAAGTGAGTAAAAGAGTGAAAGGGAGTTGAGTGAGAAAAGAGTGCGGAAGAGAAAAGAGAAAATAAGGGTCTTACAAAAATTTAAAGGATGTGTGTCACAATCACTACTTGAATTTAGAAATTCATCAATTCAAAATAATATTATTTTAAAAAAAATAATATTTCTTTCTTAAAATAAGTGTTGTGTGAAAACAAAAAAATTAAGTGTCATTTTAATTTTTTATATAACATTTTTTTTATTTATACTTCCAATAATATTTTTTTAGAACGATGATATTGTCTTACGTCATTTCAGTAGTGATAACAATAATAATAATAGTTAATTTTATAAATTTATTTATTTATTGCCTATTTATTAGTTTTATTGGTTTATGTTTAAAAAAAAGGAAAAAGAAACATAAGACAACAATTATAATTATTAAAATTGTTAAAAAATCTTAAACCGACTTGAATTAGAAAAATAATTCATGTGAATAAACTGAAATGTTTTTTTTAAGTTAAGCAGACTAATTTCTCTAATTCAAACCAAATTGTATTTTAGATAAAGGTGAACTATTTAAATTTAAATTGAATTTTACTTTATTTTTCAATGATGCACATAAGAAATATTAACAGTAAGAGAATCTTTACATTTAAAAAAAATAATTTTTATTTAAAAAATACTCAAACGATTTTCATTTATATTAAAATAATAATTAGTCGATAGAAGTTATGTCCTGCAAATGCAGGTTAATCATTGGTGGATCATGTCCATGAACTAAAAAGAACTGATTGTTTAATTTTTATTAAAAAAAAAAAGTTTAATGGCTACACACAAACATTGTTAAGTATTTTTACTATATCAATTAATTACAATTCATTTTTGAATGACATTTTGTTATTTATGTTAAAATCAATAAGGTGTCGACAGATACTTATAATTCAACAATAGTATAAAATTGTTTTGTTATAAAACATAACCTATTTTCTCTTTTAAGAAATAGTTCAATTCTGTTTTTTTTATTTTATTAATAAAGGTAGTTCAATTTTTATAACTCAGATTGGTTCTCAATCAATTCAATTTAGTTCAACTTTTTTATTATATAAACTTGTATCAAAAACAGTTGTAAATCCACTTTACCAATTCTCATACCCTTGTTTGATAAAGTGGAAGTTAGATGGAGAGCCTAAAGAGAAGTTGATTTTTAAAGGTGTTTGATAAAGTGGAAATTGTGTGAAAGTGCAGAAAGATTGAGGTAAGTCCTGCCTGAGTAAACTCCCTGGCAAAGTTGAGCAGATTTGTGAGGAATTTCATCAGCCATCTCATCTCATTCCACTCTCAAACCTATTAATCACCTTCAACAAAACACTAATAAATTTGATTATGTTTAGTACCCACCCGACCCACGTAAAGCCCTCCTCCCAAAATAAAACAATAACAAATATAATATAGTAATAATATAATAATTAATAAAATAATATAACTATAAAAAAATATTTATTATGTTTTAAAAAAATTAATAAATATATTTATTATGCTTAAATAAAATATATATATATATATATATATATTTAAATAATAATAATACATTTATTTATTTATTTATAAACAATATTATCTATAAAAATAATCAACCACTATTTTATTTTTCTCATATCAAACAACTTCCATTTCTATTCTATTTTCTGACACTTCTCTTCTTTTCCTTTTATTTCTTTCCTTTTTTATCAAACCTAGTATTAAACAACTAAAGGGAAAAAATATTAAATATATTTTATGTGCCTAAAATATATTTTACACAAATCGTGGTACGGTAAACCCTAGGCAATCTTCAGCGAAAGAAAAAAGCTTCCAGTTTAGGTACAAAAATGAATACGAAGTGTTTATTAAGTTTCAATTACATTTCGACCCCCTTTCTTAGAACTCAGCCAACCTCTTTCCATATTAGGGTTGGATCCACTTTTTGGGAGGAGGTTTAGCTATCGATTCAATTAGAGGACCAGATGCAATATGTGACTGATTCCTAAAAATCATAATCATAATTGTAATAAACAACACCATGAAATTAATCACAAGAGACAACAGAAAGTGCTACACGTAGGTCATTAGACGTCCCACATATGTACATTCTGTAAGTTTCAATTTCTTGTTGAGAAACACTACCACTACGAGCTGCATAGTGATTACCATTCACTCTATCACGCAGCGAAAAAATAATCTCCCTCACGGTTGGTTCATGGCCATTCAGAAGATTGCCCATGCTCAAAACCTTTCTCCAAGACTGGTTAGCGGTTGGAGGAACAAACATATTTGACAACACTTCCCTCTCATGCTCCTTTACTTCTTGTTTATTGTCAAACTCCTACGCAAGAATGCACAAAATACATGTCAGTTTAATGCCAAGGAAGACTTTGGAATATTAGCCAAACCAAATATTAGGTATTTCAAGACAAATAAAGGGTCTTTTTGGTTAAAATTTCTCCAAAAGTACTTTTTTTTTTTAAATGATATAAATTTCTCCAGAAGCTAAAATTAGCTCATAGATAAATTAATTTGTAGAAATTTTCTTCTATTAGCTCTTCGAAAGATGTATTTTTAACTTATATAAGCTAGTTTTAACTTATAAAAAAAGTTTATATTGATTTTTCTTTCTATTTTTTTCTCCTAATTATATTTTTGAATAAATTTATCCAAACAGACATGAGTATTTCACCTTTTCGCCAATGTCCTCTGCCAAGCTCTTTCCCGTAGTTTGAATATAGAAATTGTAGTAATCGGTGAAAATTTCTCTGCTGAGGCGTGGTGCTTGTATAAGCTTGCGATGAAGGGAAGCTGCAAGAGCCAATAACTTCTCAACTTGTTCAAAAGCAACACTTAGTCGTCTTAAGTTTTCAAAAGTCTCACTGTCTGCAGACAAGCGATTAACTGCGACAAAATGGAAATAGGTTAAAAAAACATTCTTTTCTTCAGGAGAGAAAAATTAATGAATAGATACCTTGCAAAGGCCTCAAAGCGGATGTCATGGTAAGATATAGCTGCTGCATCTCAGTCTCCATCTGTTTCAGTTCTCCATAACTTGTCTGACTTAGTGTGTCGGCTGCTGCTCTGAAGGCAGTACACACCATTTGCTCAAGCAAATCATGTGGTTTTAGAGTTTCAAGATAATGAAGAACCTGGAAAATTGAGAACATAAAATTTATAGCATACAACGAGAGATACACAGAGAACGGCATATCTCAAGCAATCCATATATGTATTATATAGTAATCTTTTTCCTCTTTACACAAATATGCAGTAGCAATTTCATTGATAAATACTAATTTGATGATTTGATCACTGCCACATTTTATAAGAGAACTACAATATTTAAACTTCCATCTGTCTTTCATGCAAGGCTCTGAATTCACCAAATAACCCTACTTCAAAGAATATTAGCCTACGTGAACACTTTTCCCATGAAAGAACACATTTGCTTTGCATGTCTTGATACTTCTAATCACTTATCTATCCACAGTCCAGTTAACCCTGTAGGACCTGCATTCCAAAGCAAATCCTCTTTGTATAAATATGGAGGAAATTCATCAACTTTGATTGATGCATGTATTATATATATATTTTGGTCTTTAACTAGGGTATATTTACAGATATTGCTGCTGAAGACTATCTTGGTCAGTCTTGCAACTAATAATTGCCTTCACTAGGGCTGGATCTCTCTCGAGGGTGCACCTCTTAGCACCGCCTCTAATTCTGTAGGTATGCATGGCATCTACTCCTATAGTATAATTAAAATACATAACTTGGAGAGTGTGGCCCTTATTTTCTTTACTCTCTCAATTAGAAATTCTCAATATTTTCTCTTCTCTCTCCTTTAAATGTGCATTCACACACTACCTCTGCAACTGACCAAAAATGTTTTTTCTCAACTATCTCAAACAACAAAATACATGATATTCTTAACTGCCTATCTCTTTCAATCTATCCCCTTTTCACTCTCTATCTTTAAATTGAATTTCAATAGTTTTTTTTTAAAATTCCAATAGTTTAAAATATTATTATATAGTTATATCACAATTAAAATTGTTTATTATATATTTAAAGTATAATTTATATATTCAAGGAATTTTTTTTATAATAATTTGTAGTTATATGTATTTTTACAAAAAGAAGCATTCTAATCCCCATTACATTCTGTCACAAAAGCTACCTCAAAATGATGTCATTGACTCATTACCCATTACCCAAAGGCCATAGTAAAGTAATATCCAATCCCAAAAGCAAAAACAAAGCCATATATGCATAGGACAAGACGACTTTTCCAAACATATATGTTTGGAGCATTTTTCCTACTTGCATTGATGGAAAAATTGTACAACAAAAGTTATTTGTCTTTTATGAGGGTGGATGGAAAGGTATCAAAGCAAGGAAAGAGACCTACATATGGTTTTTACTGACTTGGAAAAAACTATGATGGAGTGCTAAGTGTGGTGGAAGACTTTGGTAAAAAAAGGAGTTTGTGTGACTAATATTTGGGCTATACAAAACATGTATCATAGGGTAACTACTAGTGTGAGGACTACCGGAAGCGAGACTAAGGACTTTCTTATAAGGACAGGATTATATCAGAGCTCAGTCTTAAGTTCTAGCTCAATTTAGTCTTGGATGTGTGCTTTCCATGTATATGCTCTTTGCAGATAATACATTTTTGAATAAGGAATCAAGGGAAGAGGTTAACTCTAAACTTGAGATAATGATATATGGGACCAATATTACAAAATGATGAAGAACTTGATCAATGGCACATAAGATACAAGTTGGATGGTTAAAATGGAGAAAGACATCAGACATTATTTGTGCTCACAAAGTACTTACGAAGTAAAAAGGGAGTTTTATTGTATTGCTATACGCCCAGGTATATTCAATAGTAATATTTGTTGGGCTTCCAAGGAACAAGAAGAAAAAATGGTGAGTAACAAAAATGATGGTGTTAAGATGGATGTGTGGCCATACAAGGATAAAGAGCTATTCATGTAGCAGCCATTGTAGAAAAAATTATAGAAAGTTGGTCAAGGTGATTTGAAAATATGCAAAGGTCACTAGAACTCTAGAAGCACCAGTGAGAAGGGTAGATTACATGGTTTTTTGGGCCCTAGAGAGAGAGAGAGAGAGACTAAGAAAGACATTGAAGGAAATTATTAAGAGAGATCTCATGGCAAATTATATTCCTGAAAATTTGGTCTTTAACCAAAGCCCAATGGATTTTTACTTTCATCCTTTGGTTTCTTTTTGTGTGCTATGGAACAGCTAGGATTGGACTTTTTTCTTTAGGGATATTTAATTCCTAATGACAATTTTTATGGTTGCTAACCAGAAGACCAGCCCCCTTTCAGCTGTGTTATAACTTTTCCTGCCCATTCATTTGTACCAATGTTTGTAGTGTTTGATCGTCCCTTACTTGATCATCATATTTAGTCATCACTTTTATCTTAATGATAAAATGATCATTTAAGATTTACTATACCTTTTTTTCCTGTATATAATTTTCACATCTAATATTTAGGATAGCTAGATCTACTTCAGAAATTCTAAATCAAATTTTATTGACTTCTTCATTTGGACATATTTAGTCCCATTTAAAACCATTCTACTTGTTATTAGAAACACATTCAAATTCACATCAGAAACAAAAAAGGGAAAATGATTACTTCTAAATCAAGATAAAATCTATAAGATTCTTAGGGCATGGCCTCCTATTATCTTTAAGATCCACCTGTTGGATCACTTCTAAAGCAAGAAATGGCTGGTTTTAATGGTTCAGCTGTGCAATGAAAAAGAGAAACCAACAAAGATAATGTTATTCTAGTATATCCTGGTGGCCAACAATCTGTTTACCAATAGTAAAAAGCAAAACAAATTTAAACTTCTAGAATAATACTTACTTTTTCTCCTTCCCTATTTGGATCAAGAAGAGGCTTTTGTTCAGAAGCGGGAAGAGCAGGTGCACTATTCCAAAGCTTTCTCCATAAATTTCCTTTCTCAGACATTCTCTTGGAAAGCCGCCCTCGTGGAGGCCAACTTTCTTTTGACTTCTTAATGTCAAGAGCACTGGATGTTGATGATTTAATTCCTTCTTGATCCTTATCATCTTCCCAATCCCCAGGTGAATGCCACCGAATAAAATCTTCAAAGACAGCATCTGGATTTGCTGCCTTAAATGCTGACATATCTAGTAACAAAGCCATTATTGGTCTGTCACTCTTATATTATTATATTCAAGAATCTTTGCATGCACGATTAACCATGTAGCGAAAAGGAAAAAAAAAGTTGATTATATATATAATTTCATTTGGATCAAATAAAATGAAACTAGCATAAAACAAATTTAATGTCACACCATTCAATAAGCTTTTATAGAATTCTCTTTTCAACAAAATAATATTGCATATAAAAATTTATTTAAAACCAGTTCATCAGTTTATCTTACAAAAACTAACACACAATATACTGTTGAAAATAGAAAGTTATCCAATATCTAATTTTCCACGATTTGGTGGGTATGGTATGGTGAACATAACACTCATGAATGAATAATTAAATTGATGAAAACGTCATTCCATTATATTAATGGTGCAGGTATATCAAATGTTACACCAATTAGAAAGAATTATGAATATGATCTTCTAGTGAATGTGTGATTATACATTTAGGGCATGTTTGGACTTTGGATGAACTTCTCCATAAGCACTTTTAGGAGATAAAAATACGAAGAAAAATTTAAATTAGTTTCTCTATAAACAAAAACTAGCTTATGCATGAGTTAAAATAAATTTTAAAGAAACTAATAGAAGAGAGCTTATACAAATTAGCTTCTTCATAAGCTAATTTCAGTTTATGAAGAAGCTTATTTCATTTTTCCTTCCTATTTTTCTATCCTAGAAGTGTTTTCGGAGAAATTTTATCCAAACAAATCTTAATTATTGTGTAACATCAGAAGCACCGGCTTCAGAAATCAGAACTGACTATTCTTTTGGAAACAAAAAAGGAGCTTCAGACATGGTTAATAACTATCCAGTGTTATTATGAAACATATATGTTATTACCTGAAGTTAAGATATCTTTTTCCAGCTGAGCAGAGAAATTCTGCGGGGGAAAACAAAAGCATTGCTAAGTAACAATGCAAAATATGAAATGGGACATATATCATTCCTACTGCATCCTTTTCTTTTCTAGATTTGGAATCAGAAATATGCACGATTTAATCAAATGAAATGGAATTTGAAAAGGTTCAAGTAAGGAGATGAATATTTAGTGTGTTTAGATATTTTGCTGTGCCTCTTCCCTGAATTGCCTTTGAAAAGAAAAACAAAAGCCCCAAAATTAATCCCAACCAGACATCACACTTCACAATATAGTTCATGTAATTCATACTTTAAGTTGATACGTCTTTGTTTCCTTAAGACCTTATACTGCCATCAACTTCAAGGCTAACTCTACTTATGATATTGATATTTTGCTAAATATTACGTGAATAGAGGGACCTAATACAAAAATAATAGTATTTATAACTGTGCATAAGAAATTCCACAGCTTAGTTTCTTCACTTTACTTTGTCAACCACCTATTAGAGGATTCAACTATCTAAATTTATCCACTTCTCACGGCACATGGTATATGGGACAATTTTAATCCATGATCAAATGAACATATCAGGGTCAAGATAGGGAGTGGTAGATACCATCCTTCTTCAACAAAAGCAATACTATTTTTTAGCAACCAGGTTGCAAATTTATAGTTATAGATTTACCAATTACAAAATATTAACTCATAGTCACGTTAGCCAGGCTACTCAAGTCTGTAAAGCAATAAATTAAGCAATTGGGAGGCTATCGTATCACTGGCAAGGTAATTCATACCTCTTTAAACCAGTGCCCATGGCACTAGACTAACTCAAGTTGGTTGACAACTAAGGCTATATTCCTGAACCTATACCGCTGCAATACCATTCAAATCCTTGCATCTAACCATAATTAATTGTTCAATGCATCTTATTTTCAGTCATTTACCCCTATGTGAATTATATATGAGGTCTATGTTGCCAAAGGCTCTAAGCTTTTATTGTCAATGATTGTTATTATTATATGCATTACATTAGTTTGAGCTTACAAATGAATCGCCAAAGGCTTCAACAGCCTTGAGCCGCTCTTCATGCATGTCTTCTGTCATAAGTGGTGGTTCCTGTAAAACAGCAAAAATGATTAATGGCATATTATATTCTTCAAAAATTGTTGAAGTAAACCCACATAATGATAATGCCAAATGGTGCTTGGATGCAGGAACGACCTGTGTATATGGGGCATGCATACTTTGACGTGACTTGAGAAGCATCATAGAATCAACAATACCAGCAGAACCTCTCCTGGTCAAGTCTGAAGGATTTTTGTCATTCAACAGGTCCACCACTTCAGGCTTTCTGCTAGCATTATTTTTTTCCCCAGAACAGTGCAAATCATTAGTCGTTGAAAACATGCAGCATTATCATAGAATTAGACACCATTTGTGCTAGAAAATACTTGAAACATTTCCAAAAATATTATAGTATAAAATTGTGACTTGAGTTACAATTATACAAATCCATAACTATTCTTAATAGCAGATATTGAAATCAAAAGCAGTCCTGGAGTTGTATTTTCACTACCCTGCAGTGGGCCAACGTTAGTGTACATGCACACACACGCAAAGAGAAAAGCCCAGAAAAGAGATGGATGACACTGTACAAGAACTAAGGATAGACCAGCTGATCCCCCTAGGTCAAGGCTGAATCAGTAGTCTTGGTCTTGGGACTTGGAGTGAACAATTCCAAAACCCAAATATCACTTTAGGGAGACAAATTAAGTGTGAAATAACTAAATTAGTTCTGTTACTGAAATAAAAATCAAAATAAAAGGAAATTGCTCAATTATCCGTCAACCATCAGTCACACTACACCAATTGGAGTCCAAAATAAGCACAGATTACAGAACGTGCTACTGGATAAAATACAATAGTTTCTAAATCACTGGCTATCTTTAAGCCGAAGAGATCCAATCTCCTTTTTGGACAGGGCACATCAAGGTTGCTGAATTTTTCAACTATCTATGCCAGCAAAATAGAGAATGCACAAGGACCTACATTAGTTACAGCTAGCCATTTTGTTCCTATCATCTGACAAGATCAGAGAACATGTTCATACCCAATAAATCAAAAACTTAATCCCTCTCTATCCCCCTATTAAAATACTGCCCAAGAAATTAACCACTAAAAGCAAACAAGAAAAGAAACAAAGGGTCCTTTAATCAATATAGAAAATTTACAAATAAATAAATATGGATATGCACATATAGAAACTTTAAAAATTTAATTTAACTGGGACCAGAAGTGGTGAAATAAAAATATGGAAGAGATGGCCATAAGAAAATGAGTTGTTATATTGGCAGTAAGAAGACAGATTCAGACAATAACAACCGAGCAGGCTCTCACTTGCTAAGTTCACCTGTCAACTTTCCCAGAAAAATCCTCACTAGGTGTCTGTATACTGTGCGAGTCATCCCCGGCTACACTTTCATCCTGCAATTCAATTCAAACTAATTAACACCCATAACAATAATAATAATAATAAACTACAGTAATACAACAAACAACCAAAACCAAGAGTGAAAAATGGTTTGTGACCTCACTCATGGAATCCATTTGATCCAAGCTTCCAATACAATCTTGATAGTCTTCATTCAGCTGACACTTCCTCTCAATGCATATTGCAATCTATATAGCAAAGCAGAAAATGTGTCAATTTTACCACTGTGTACTTCATAACATATACAGATCAAAGATCCACAACATCCAAGCTCAAAATATTTCTAGTTTTTCTTATAATAACTTATCCAGTGGTACAACTATAACAACAACAAAAGTTTTATCCCACTAAGGTCAAGCACATGAATTGTGCGATACCAACTTCCTCCAATGCCCTTCTCTGTTTTCTCCTTTTCACGGAACTAAAGATCAAGCAATCTACTATTTTCACTAGTGATTTCAGTGACCTTCTTTACATGTGTCCAAACTACCTACCTTAACCGATTTTTTGTCATCTTTTCCTCAATTGATGCAAAACCAATATCTCCTCATACACGATCATTTTATATAATGTTCTTTCTTAAGTGGTCAAACACCCATTTTAACATTCTCATTTATGCTACCCACGCATATTTCACTTCTTGTCCTTTTAAAGCCCAACATTCACTACCATAGAGCATACCAAAACAATAAACTATCCAGGGGTAGAACCAGGAATTTAATTCAGCCACAAGCCCAGTGAGCTAAGAATGTTCTAGAAAACAAAATTAAAAATATGTTTTAACATAAAATTTCATATAAAATATACAGCACATACAAGCACATAATGAGTATATTTCAGCAAAGATCCTTTAAGGATAAAAATAAATTACCATCTGAAGTTTCTGGTTAATCAAACAAGTGGAAAGGTCAATTGATCCATTAGCTGGCATCCTGGGCAATAGTTGCGACTCTTCCCAACAATGCTACCCACGCATATTTCACTTCTTGTCCTTTTAAAGCCCAACATTCACTACCATAGAGCATACCAAAACAATAAACTATCCAGGGGTAGAACCAGGAATTTAATTCAGCCACAAGCCCAGTGAGCTAAGAATGTTCTAGAAAACAAAATTAAAAATATGTTTTAACATAAAATTTCATATAAAATATACAGCACATACAAGCACATAATGAGTATATTTCAGCAAAGATCCTTTAAGGATAAAAATAAATTACCATCTGAAGTTTCTGGTTAATCAAACAAGTGGAAAGGTCAATTGATCCATTAGCTGGCATCCTGGGCAATAGTTGCGACTCTTCCCAACACCACCTAACCTCTCGAACAAACTCTATCCATAGCACAGCAATAGCTGACAGAGACCAAAATTGAGTAAAACAAATGAAAAATATGCTGTACAAAAGATATATCTCAAAAGAACAATTCCTCATAGGTCAACAATTTGTTCCTCTCTCTTAATTAGGTTTAGGTTAAACAATAATGTAACAAACAAACCATAATTACTTTTGGAAAATACCACGTATATTGCAGTTGCCAAACCAAAGAGAATGTAAACAAAATTGTGCAAAGAGAGATCCAAGAGGTGCGCCTTTTATAGCTCGAGAAGTCTTATGTCCACTATCAGCAAAATCTGAGAATTGTACACCTGCAGACATTACATCACTGATTTTAGGAAAATAATGTGAAGCATCAACATCCAATTTTAAAAACCAAATAATCAGCATGCCTTGCTAGGAACCCCAAGGATACTTAAAATTTGAAATTATTTAGTAACGTATAAAATAGCATTAAGTTTTAGAAGTGATAAATAAAAAAGAATAAGAAAAGGAAAAATAAAACTCTTTAAATGAATGGAAATGTTCCCCAATTTATAATCATTTGCATGTGAGACAAGGGCAAATTTTCCTTTCAAAAACTTGTTTCTACCACTCATCAGTGTTCCACCCACCACTTAAATTACTTGGAAATCCTTTTACTTTAAAGAAATAACCACCATCAAATGGATCACAACTATCCATGCAAATACTAAATATTCCATTTCCATCATTTGATAGGGATCTTCAAGCAATTTTTCACCATCCAAGATAATTTCTTTCAAATTGGAACATATAGGCAGCACTACATTGTAGGCCATTTCTTCATTCACTCACTAGTGTACCAAGGCACTAGCAACTTGCTTTTAGCAGATTTATTGACCATAGATTGGATGTAGATGCAGAATCTAATGGATTAAGTCTAAGTGCCTAACTCAATCCCAACAACTAACTCAACTAAGGAGTATTCTGATAATATTCCTATGTCCTAACTAATGTGGGACATCTTAATATGCCCCCCTGTGCTCAAGACTGGACAGTAGCGTGAAATTTGTAAGACTGCACATTTGTTAGTAACCCAACATCAAGACAAGATAGGCTTTGATACTATATCAAAAATGAACTGGTCCTAAACCAACCCAAAAACTAGCTAAAGAGAGAAGATTGACCAAGTCTTGTAGGCTGGTCATATTTTTAACCAATGTGGGACATCTTAACAATTAATAAAATAACAACAGTGTAAGTACTTGAGTATTCACCCAATGTGTGGAAGGCAAAGAAAGGAGGAAGAGCTACATACCCTCAATAAACAGTTCTTTCAGCACACGGTCTCTAACTGTTGGTGGAGGTATAACCATTGAGGATTTTAAATTATCAGAACCTGGATTTTCAACTGCTACAGGCCAGAAGAAGGGAAAGTATTGAACAGTGTACCAAATTCACTACTATCTATGAAACATAAAATGCCTAAATGAATAAGTGAACTATACCATAGAATGCACCAAAACAAATTCAAACCTGAAACAAAATCTTCCATAAATTGTGCCTCGAATGACATTTCCAATGCATCAACCAGAAGACGCAACTCAGATGCAAATCCAATCCGATTCCCACTGGAACCTTCAGGTCTATATGTAAAATAAAAATACCACAGAAATTTGAATTTCATAAATTATTTAAAAGCATAAGAAGTCAAACTTTGATTATGAGTTTTAGAAGTAATTGTACCTAACATAAATAACAAATTAAACCTAAATATATTTATTGCCACTATGGCACAGCCACTAAAACATCCTTGATGCTTTTTGTCAAATCAAGCAACTCTACAACAACCCTATGGTAATGCTTTAAAAGAGTAAATCAGAAGAGTAAAGGATGGTCATTACATTGAAGTATAACCTACCAAAACATTTTAAGTGTTATACACATAGTTTGATACTGAAAAAAATGAAAATCCTGGGCAGTTTTATATTGACCGGTGATTTGAACCACATATTGAACCAATGAACCTGAATATGATTTATTATACTTATGCACTTTGAGCAACAGATATTCATTACTAACATAAGAAGCAACTATTCTTGAGAATTTTGGTTTCTGTTATACAGACAAACAACTTAAAATTTGGAGTAAACCTTAGAGAGATCAGCCACTTTTCAGCTTCATGTGGTGAATCATTTTCCAGTTCAGCCATTTCCATAGAACTTTCAATCATTTTCTCTGACCATATTGCAATCAGTTCAAAACCTGCATGCAGCCTAAGCATAAATTAAATGGAACTGGCATTGACATCAGAGAGCTTCATGAAAATAATGAAAGCTTGGAGAGCTTATATTAATCCAAAACAAAATCTAGACTAAAATCCCAAAAAATATCCTTTGTCACCACACAAACTTCTAAAGGGACAGATGCAAATGGACAGAAAAATGAGTAGGAAAAACTATTCAAATATGCATGAAAAATAGACAAGGAAAAACCATGCAAATGGACAAAAAATTTAGACAGAAAAATCATTCAATGAGTGAAAAAATGGACAGGAAAAAAAAATGTAAATGAGTGGGGGGAAATTCAAATGGCCAAGAAAGAGTATTCAAATGAGCCAAAACATGATAGGAAAAAAAAAACATACAAATGTTTGTAAAAAAATATTTAAATAGGCAGAAAAATGTGCAAAAGCAGAACAGATAAATAGATGGAAAAGTTCAAAAAAGTGGATGGAGGAAAAATCCTCTCCTTTAGTATATGTAGAATATATAATATCAACAATAATAAAATATCTATTACAAAATATTTTTGTTATTATTTTTTAATGTTTATTTCATAGACTGTAAATAATATAAGTATTATAATATATTATTTTTACATAATATTAAATATATAAAATATTACACTATATTAACTGTATAATATTTATATTATAACATATATTATTGTAATATATATATATATATATTATATACTAATAGTATAATAGTGACAGAAATATTATAATAATAAATATTATAATACTAATAGTATATTAAAAGCAGATAATATATTATATAATAGTTTTGTGAGGGAAATTAGGGTGGAAGAGTATGTAGAGGAAAAATCCTCCTTTGTAGTATATATATTATAGATACAAATATATAGATAAGCAAAAGACTCTTTTGAGATATTGATTGTGATTCTCACTCAAAGCAACAAGGGGGCAGGTGTCCCTTTCACAATTACTTCAGGATGGTCACAGAGATTTTTCTTATTTTTTATTTTATTATCAAATATAAGGAAAATGGACTGGAAAAGCAATGCAAAGAAAAGGGTAAAGTGAACTGTATATTAATCTCTTGGAGGAGTATAATTTTTAAAAATAGAGAGGAAAAATGTGTAACTTAAGCATTAATTAAGAGAGGAGAATGTAATTTATCCTAAGGAAAAATGTTGCCATCCTACAGTCAATTCTCTATAAATAGTAATAAAATGGTAGGAGATATTTAATTAATCAGTATTAAATATATGCAACTGATGTTATATTGGTGGCTTCTGACTACCTCCCAAACAAATGACACTGCAAGCCTAAAACAGAAGAAGTCATCTTTCTGATTCTAACTGTTTCAGTGTTTCCACTGTAGCTTTTGAAGCATCCTCCCTTGAATCAAGGAGATTTGCAGTTTGCACACATGCAGTTCATTTATTTGTAAAGCAGAGAATTTTAGAAGGCATAAATTAGAGAGAGAGAGAGAGAGAGAACATATATGACATATCTCTGAATTATCACAGGTGTTTAGGTTCTAAAGTTCAGCTCCATATGTAAGTCTTTGTATAAGGAAGAATCATTATACAGAGAAACCCTTTTAGTGAATGTGTAAGATGTAAGGATCACAATTCACTAGATACCTATAGTTTATTTATTAGCAAAGAGACAATGTAGCGCATGGCTTTATTTCATCCCTGTTTTGTGATAGATGCTGTTGGTAAGGCTTTATTCTGCTTATGACAACATAATGAAAAACATGCTATTGGTTATATGAACTTAGGCATGTCTTTGTGCTTTAAAGGGAAAAAACAAAAGAAAAAAAAAAAGATCATTTAACACATGGCCAACAAACCATTAAATTTAATACTCACTTAATAGTTTCATGGTTAACCGAAGTTAAGGGAGGTAATGTATAACAATAAGAACTTGCTGTACAAAACATGAAAAGGCCTCGACATAATTCGTATCTTACCCTTATGGCCTTATCCCATTAGAAGATAATAATACTCATATCATAAATACTAATTAATGACAATGATGAAAATTGCGTCACAATTAGATTACATGTGCAAAAGCATGTGAGAAGAGAGCTATTCTATTGAAAAGAGCTAAAAGCACTATGCATCTAAAACATTTTGGTCATACTTGCAAATGATCCCCAATTTTCCATTATTTGAAATTATAATCCATCCCAACATGGACTCTACATGCCAGCATGATTACAGTTTATACATAGAGATTTAAAGATGTATCTGAATCTTAAAAGTTAAAACCCATTCTATCTGATGAAAGCATCCAAGCAAGAACCTATAGCTATTTCTACCTACAAGTCCCTATATCCTAGAACTAGAATTTACCTTTAACAGGATCTTCTGCAGAATACCACTGGCTCCAAGAACAATCATCATCCCACTGCGTCCCACTGGACACTTCACCAGTAAGATTTTCTTCATATTTGGTAATTTTGGCATCTTCATCATAGGGAGGTGTTCTGAATGTTAGCTTCATTGCAAATCGGACTTTGAAATTATGAACAGATAGATCCAATGTGGAGTAGGCCTTCAAGATCAATTGAAAATTAATTATTACAAGTAAAAGTTAGGACAGTGCAGACATGAAATCAAAAGTTTATATAGAACTGCTGGCTATAAGACAGATTACTGAAGAGGTTATTGTATATGCAAAGTGTCCAATCAACACTTTGTGTTTGCATGTTTTTGTGGTGTTGGTTTGCAGGTTCTTTTCTAGGATTTGTATCTTGGCATATGCATGTTAATTTGTATACCTAAGATGCCTTATGCCTAAGATTCCTTGATATCCAGGTACTTTATGCCCTTTTCCTATACTTCCTTTAGCACTTTTTGTGCTCCATATATATATATATATATATATATATATATGAGGAGGGATCCTTTTACTCCAGGGGTAAGTCTAGGGATCCTTTTTGTGCTC